TGGACTTGCCGCAAAAATACACACACCAATGTCTTTGGATCCAATAATCCAAAACTGATATTTTCCTCTCCAAATCCCAAAAATCAAAGACACGTTATCGCAAAAGTCAACATCATTGATTTTACTAATATTCTACTAAAAGAGATTGAACCAGAAAAACAACACAGCCTTTGGGATAAAAAGAAGGCCACCTGTATGAAGAAGAAATTGCGGGATGACTACCATCAGCATGATGAATGATTGAAAGGAGGAAACCCATAATTGGTCCACTCCCAGCTCGGACAGATTATTTCTGTATTGGCATCAAAATACAAGAAAATACAAAGCTACTAGCAACATTACAAAGCACCTAAAAATATTTTACCCCAAAAAGAAAAAAAAGGACGGAACCGCAGAACCGTCCACCTATCATTTCATTTAACAATACAAAAACTATTGTACAGAACCCGGCAATGAAAAGATGAGATTGCCTGGCTGAGGAGCCCCAATTGATGGGATCCTCTCCTGAGAATTCTACTACCTGCCTATGTCACCCTTGCCTCTCCAAGACTCCTCTTCCCTGACTATGCCCCCATTCTGCCCACCATACTGCTCTGTTTTGGCATAGTGCATTTTAATGGCGGCCACCGGATCCGAAACACCTGTGCATGGTCCCCCCACTAGAATCCCTCCTCTTCCCATCACATTCATTCCTACAATCCCTCTACCCTGCTGCGACATTGCTTCAAATCCATTTCGTCTCTGCATCTCAGAGAATATGTCCTGCCGCTGCTTCATATCAACTGTAAATGGCTGAACTTTAGAACTATCCCGGTTCCTGTACATCTGATATTCCATCATCCCACCATTACTGCCACTAACTTCCCGGGGAGGAAAGACTGACAGACCATTTAAACTACATTCACTGCTCTTGACAACAGCTTGCAGTGCCTGCTGCTCCACTTTAGGGGAAGAGGAAGGATAATTGCCAAATGCAGCAGGATACTTGGCAAGCAAAACAGCTGAATCTGGCAAAGACGGAAACCCAGTTGGTATTCTGTTCCCGTCCCAATAACCATAACTCCTTAAAGGAACATTTTCGAGGCCAATGTTACTGCAGTCAAACTTAAGCATAGACAGATTATTACCATCTGCATTCGGATGACCAGTGAATTTCGTAGTTGAGGACTTGCCACAGTGTCTGGGATGATTTGTCTCTTTATCACTATCATGAGTGGTGAGTATCTGACCAAAAAGTTTGAAATCACCATTTCTGCATGGTTTGTCTGTATCGGATAAACTCCTCGAATGGGATCTTGATTGATCAGTTAGTTCTTCTACTTTTGTGGATAGAAGAGGATTTTCTGATGCTGAACTGTTAGGTTTTGAGCTACTACATTTACGTAGAAAATCTTGGACAATTTCTGGAGAAGGTAGAACCACTTCAGAATTTGACATGCTTTGAGACTTAGAATGCGGTAGACAACTAATATCTCCATTCATTTCTTTCTTGGTTGGAATATGCAGGGGATAGTCCCTGAGATCCTGGGAGGACCCACCGGGTGGATGCCCTGAAATGTGTTGCTGATGGTCTGCAATGTTAACAGATGTATTACCCTGCTTAGACTCCCGAAGATCAAAGATGGATAATAGCCCATCCTGGCTAGGTGTTCTCTCACACTGAGACGGGGCAGAGACCTGTGACAACATATTTCCCACTGCTGGAGAACTGTCCTGTCGCAAAGAGATAGCAGAGGATCCAGCACAAGCGAAAACTGATGCAAGTTTCCAGAGTTTAAACTAAAACCTGAACAAGAAATCGTATCCACAACTGGAAATAGGGCATTTCTGGGTTATATTTGAATCTTCACGAGCACTTCATCACAGTATGCATATTACTGTTCATCTCTTTTCATCAGTATTTGTGGGATGAAGTCTTTGCCCTGATCATTTCAGTC